ATTTTGTTTAACATGTCAATGGTTGCTTGGGTTTCCTTTGTTTACTCTACAATTAATCATCGATTTTCGTTAAAATGAAAAATAAAAAAAATAGAAATCGATTTGGTTTTTTTAAGGAAATGATTCACACTTAGCGGCTTTTTTTTTGTTAATGTGTTTACAACTATGTGAGGTCATTGTTAAATAGCTGTCAAAATAATGCCGTGTACTTTGAACTTGAATTCACAAAACGGAACTAGTAGGAATTTTTTGTATCGTAGCCTTCTACGATGATTGATAGCAATCGACAATTTTTGCAATAGTTCAATGGTTTTAATTGAACTTACTCTGGAGTTGGACAATGTAGCTCAGAGAGCGGATACGTATCAATTCCTCCCTTAAGAAGAACAAGAAGTTAATTTAGTTCCCCCCAGTTCAGTAGTTCCGTCAACCCTAATTGTTACCACTTTCCATAGTTCGTCCGTTATCTAAAGAATTTTGAAAATTCAGACATTTTTGGTATATAATTTTTCTACCCTCAGCCATATGGCTCTAGAGGGTATACAGGAAGAGATGAAAAAAACTGCAACCAACTTCAGACTGCTGTCATTTCTGAGGAAATAACAGGAAATACCAAAGTGTCGATCACCTCAAGCAAACGTTCGCCGGGAATGGGCCAAAATACCTCAGAGTAACATTCGGGCAGCGTGTAACGGTTTCCTTGGCCGTTTGAAGGACATAATTCGTGCCAAAGGTGACCAATTCGAACAAATCTAAACTTATTCTAAAATTTGATGTTATTTCCGACATTTTTTTCTTCATTCAATGAAATTTAAAAATAAAATTTATTTCAAAATTATGACGTTTGACTTTGTTGCAGTTCTTTTTATCTCACCCTGTATAATGTCTTCGGCGATATAAAAATGATAACAATAGGAAAATTTTTTCGATACCCTCAGCCATATGGCTAGACAAAAAAAATATATATACATATATATAAAACGCCATAATTTTTAATTTTCTTTTTTTTAATTTTATTGAATGAAAGCAAAAAATGTCGAAAATAGCATCAAATTTTAGAATAAGTTTAGATTTGTCCGAATTGGTCACCCTTGGCACGAATTATTGCCTTCAATTGCCCAAATGTGGCTCTGCGGTATTTTGGACAATTCTCCGCGAAGCTCTTGCTTGAGCTGATCGACACTTTGGTATTTTTTAGTGCCAACCTTGCTTTCCAAAATATGTACTCCAGACACAATAGTCCAACGGAACATCATTTTGTAACCATTCTTGGGTGGCGCGTTCTGAATGCGAGGGTGCCGATTTCTGTTGAAATGTAGAAGGTCTTCGGCCAAAATATTTGAGTGGCCAAGGCTTTAATACAACTACCAGAATATTTTCCCGATAATATTCGGCATTTATTCTGATGTCACGGTCGATTAATACGAGCGGAGAGCGGTGTAATAGTACGTTTATATATATGAGGGTTAACCCACTGGATTTGGATTTAAATTGTCATATCTATTACTTTTACTTCAAATAAATCCTCTCTAAGTAGGTTAACCCTACAAAAAGTTCTAACGTAAACATGGCATAAATTCTTGCACTTTTTGGAATTTCAATGGTTTTATCCCGAGTTCATTTTTCAATATTTGCCGAATGAAATATTACGATGTGTTCAGCTCACGAGCCATTTTTCGGCCACTGCGACACGGATTTCGATCAAGTCGCTTATTTACTTTTCGCTTCTTTTTCATTTGAAATCTATAAAATTCGAAGGTAATTTTCTTAGAAACCTTGAAATGTAGACATGTGAATCATTTTGGAACTTCTACTGAAATTTGATGTAGATTATTTCCTTTTTTGACAATTTTTGCCTAAAATGAACTTTTGTGTTACTTAAGAGCATCAACTTGAAAAAAGACCGTAGAAAAATCCATTAAAAATTTATGAAATATTTTCGTTTCTTTGGCAAAATTGAAATGAGATTTTCTTAAAAACTATTATACCGAGACATATATTTTATTCGGAGACTGCCAGTGTAATTTTGTGTAGGATATTTCTTCTTTTGACAGTTCGGGTATAAAACTTAGTTTTATATTACTTTGATGTATCGACTCGAAATAAGATGGGAGAAAAATGTAAAAAAAGTAGGAAATATTTTCTTCTATATTTTTTGTTAAGATTGAAGCAAATATTTTTTGATATGTAATGGAAGTAGGAATTTTTTTCTTCGGCGACTTATAGTGAAATTTGATGCAGAATATTTCTGTCTTTAAGGTCATCTCTCTAAAATGATGTTTTGTAGAAGAATTTGGCACTTACTTATATGAACTACGCCTTTTAAATGTGTTTTCAATATTTATAAAAACCCGGAATGTAGGCAGATTTCGAATGTTTTTTTTTCTAAAACCTATTATACCGACATATTCATTTTATTCAGAGACTTATATTGAAATGTAGTGCAGAATATTTCTTCTTTTGAGACTTTGTGTCTAAAACTTAGTTTTATGTTACTTTGATGCACCAAATCGAAATAAGATGGGAGAAAAATGTATCAAACAATTAGGAAATATTTTGGTCTTTATTTTTTGGTAAAATTAAAGCAAATACTTTTTGATATATAATGGAATAGAGATTTCTTTTCTTTGGCGACTTATAGTGATGAATTTGATGCAGAATATTTCCGTCTTTAAGGTCATCTCCCTAAAATGATGTTTTGTCGGAGAACTTGGCACATACTCATATGAAGTACGCTTAGTAAATTCTATTTCTTATTCTCTTTTTACCCAGAACTAGAACACAAATAAAACAAAACCATGTCGACAAATATACAATGTTTGTAGATCATGTTGTAATGTTATGATGGAAATATCAAAAACCGAAAAGGAACAAAGAATGTCAATAACGAAGAGAACAAAAGAGCGACTTACAACAAAAGCGCATTTAAATCAAAAGAAAAGAAATGTGGTAAAGAAAAAAAAACTAATTTACAAGAAACCATTTTTTTCTTTAAATCATACCAAAGTGGGTGTCTGATTTTGGAGTTCCTTTATTTGTTGGTATGCCATAATGGCGGGGGTGGTGGAAATCACCGAGAATATGACGTTTTCTTATTTACAACTCTGGCAATGTTTGCTGACAATTTCCTCTGTTGCTCTAGAATAGTTTTTTTTTTTTTTAAATGAAGTTTTAACATTGTTTTTATTTGTTGACACATGACGCGTGTTGAGACCCAGTTTGAGCCAACTAGGCGTTGTTGGTTTTAAATGTTGTAGTTGTGGTTGTTTTGAGATTTTTGTGTGTTATTTGAGGTTTTTGACTGTTTTTTTTTTTGGTTTGTTGTATTGACATTGTTGTTGTGCTCTTCGTTGTGGGCCCCAGTTGTGTTCTTTGATGTATTGCGGCCAGAGCTCAATTTGAATGCACTCTATAGAGGGCTCTTATGTTGAGGGTTGTGGAGGGAACACATGTGTGACATGGGTCCCAAAAGACCCCACCGTATTCGGGCACCAAAACATAATAAAGGAGCTATAGAGAAGTAAAAAAACAAAAAAAAAAACGACAGAAAAAACACCTTGAGAAGCTCTTCTGTGTATAGAAGGTCTCAAGAAGGTCTTCTAGGTATAGAAGACCTCCAGGAGGTCTTTTGTGGATAAAATACCTCAATAAGGTATTTTGTGTGTAGAACACCCCGAGAAGGTCTTCAGTGTATAGAAGGTCTTCTATGTATAGAAGACTTTCAGAAGGTCTTCTGTGGGTAGAAGACCTCCAGAAGGTCTTCTGTGGGTTGAAGACCTCCACAAGGTCTTCTATGGGTTAAATAACTCAATAAGGTCTTTTGTGTAGAAGACTTCGAGAAGGTCTTCTGTGTATAGAAGACCTCCAGAAGGTCTTCTATGTATAGAAGACTTTCAGAAGGTCTTCTGTGTGGAGAAGACCTCGAGAAGGTATTTTGTTTATAGAAGACCTCGAGAAGGTCTTCTAAATATAGAAGACCACGAGAAAGTCTTTTGTGTATGGAAGTCCTCCAGACGACTTTCTGTGTATAGAAGACCTCCAAAAGTATAGAAAACCTCCAGAAGATCTTCTGTGTATATAGAGTCTCGAGAAGGTCTTTTGTGCATAGAAGACCTCCACAAGGTCTTCTGTGTAAAGCAGACCTCGAAAAGGTCTTCTAGGTATAGAAGACCTCGATAAAGTCTTCTGTGTATAGAAGACCTCCAGACGGTCTTTTGTGTATAGAAGACCTCCAGAAGGTCTTTTGTGTATAGAAGACCTCCAGAAGGTCCTCTGTGTATAAAAGACGTCCAGAAGGTCTTCTGTGTATAGAAGACCTCCAGAAGGTCTTCTGCGTATAGAAGACCTCCAGAAGATCTTCTGTGTATAGAAAATCTTCAGAAGATCTACTGTATATTGAACATCTCCAGAAGGTCTGCTGTGTACAGAAGACCTCCAGAAGGTCTACTGTGTATAGAAGACCGCCAGAAGGGGTGGGGTGTTAGCCGGACCATTCATATCTCCATCTTGAAAACCTTTCAATTTAACGTAGAGTTGAAAACATTGAGATCTCCTCATGGTTCAAGGAGTAACCAATCCGAAGGGTGTCTTAAAGTCGTCTTTATTGCCACACTTCTTTCTTAATCTTTTGTGTGTTTTAACACTTTTACTTTGAAAATAGCCAAGCAGGCCAATATTGGCATGTGTTATATGCGCAGCAAAGAGGAAGAAGTACCTCAACGGAAATGTGACGGAACCTCATAAAAGTGGTAGGTGTTGAAAGGTGAAATGTTTGGCACATGGCGGGGAGAGACAAACAAAAACATAAAAAGAATGACAAAACCAACCTTACAAGTTCGCCTCTTTTTTTTCCAGACCGGAACTAGCAAAATATTTTTACACTCATTCAGAAAAAAGTCAGGCTTGGGTTCGGGCAAAACAAATTCCGACACCTCAGTGATCTAAAAGAGACTGAAAACTAAAATCATTCTCAATCATTTTCATTTGACAACTCATTGCAGATGGAACCACAAACGCAACAGCAACAATTGCAGCAACACAATCAACAGCAGCAGCAACAACAACAACAACAACATCAGCAACATCACCAACAGCAGCAGCAGCAACAACATCATTTACAGGCCTTGGAAAAACCGCAACAACAATTGTTGACGAAAATCAAAACTGAAATCAATGGACAAGAGCTTTTGAATCACAGCAATACAACAACAACAGCAGCAGTGGTACCGGGCCAAAATCTGGAGAAACAAAATCAAGTGGATGCCCAACAACAACAGCAACAACAGTCTCAACAGCAGCAAATCCAGCCTCACCAATTGACCACCAACAATCCCAGTCAACATCAACAGCAGCAGCAGCAACAACAACATCAACCCTCACCCCAACAGCAGCAGCAACAACAACCAAATACTACAACAATTATTCATACCCAGCAGACTCAACCGATCAATGCCGTTATACAGGCTTCGCAAAATAATCAACCCCAACAACAGCAGCAGCCCCAGCCAGGAGGACATCCTGGCCCAGAGACTTTCGTAACCATCCAAAGGCCAGCTCATCGAAGAATCCTGACCACAAGTGGAGAACTGTAAGTCCGAAAACGATGAATGATTATAAGTTATTTTAAAGACTATCAGTCAAATGTAAACTTTCCTTTCTTTCGGTAAAAACCGTGAAATCGATATTTCAACCTTTAAAAAAATATTCATAAAAAATTAACTCTTGAAAATTAAAAATATTCTTCAAAAATCCCCGCTCTGGGTACTTGAAAAATATTCTTAAAAAATCCACGTTGGTCCTTGAATAATAATCCTTAAAAATCCACGCTGTTGGTCCTTGATAAAATATCCTTAAAACTCTAAACTTATTCGTCCGTTGGTCCTTGAAAAAATATTGTTTAAAAATCCAAGCAGTTGGTCCTTGATAAAATAATCTTAAAACCCCAAATTTATTCGTCCGTTGTTCCTTAAAAAAATATTCTTTAAAAATCCACGCTTACTAGTCTATTGATCCTTGAAAAATATTCTTCAAATATCCACGCTGTCTGTCCTTTAAAATAATCTGCAAAAATCCACGCTGTTGGTCCTTGAAAAAATATTCTTCAAAACTCCAAATGTATTGGTCCATTGGTCCTTGAAAAACTATTCTTTAAAAATCCACGCTTATTGGTCTATTGGTCCTTGAAAATATATTTTTTAAAAATCTACGATTATTGGTTCTTGAAAAAAAATTATTTAAAAATCCACGATTATTGGTCTATTGGTCCTTGAAAAAAATCCTTGAAAATACACGCTTATTTGTCTATTGGTCCTTGAAAAAAAATCTTAAAAAATCCAAGCTTATTGGTCTATTGGTCCTTGAAAAAATATTCTTCAAAAATCCGCGTTTAAAAGGTCTATTGATCCTTGAAAAAAAATCTTAAAAAATCCACGCTTATTGGTCTATTGGTCCTTGAAAAAATATTCTTTAAAAATCCGCGTTTAAAAGGTCTATTGATCCTTGAAAAAAAATTTTAAAAAATCCACGCTTATTGGTCTATTGGACCTTGAAAAAATATTCTTTAAAAATCCGCGTTTAATAGGTCTGTTGGTCCTAGAAAAATTATTCTTTAAAAATCCGCGCCCTTGGTCTGTTGGTCCTTGAAAAAATATTTTTAAAAATCCACGTTTAATAGGTCCTTGCAAAAATATTCTTTAAAAATCCTTGACTATTGGTGTGTTGGTCCTTGAAAAAATATTCTTTAAAAATCCGCGTTTAATAGGTCTGTTGGCCCTTGAAAAAATATGCTTTAAAAATCCACGCCTATTGGTCTGTTGGTCCTTGAAAAAATATTCTTTAAAAATCCACGTTTAATAGGTCCTTGCAAAAATATTCTTTAAAAATCCACGCCTATTGGTCTGTTGGTCCTTGAAAAAATATTCTTTAAAAATCCACGTTTAATAGGTCCTTGCAAAAATATTCTTTAAAAATCCACGCCTATTGGTCTGTTGGTCCTTGAAAAAATATTCTTTAAAAATCCACGCCTATTGGTCTGTTGGTCCTTGAAAAAATATTCTTTAAAAATCCACGCCTATTGGTCTGTTGGTCCTTGAAAAAATATTCTTTAAAAATCCACGTTTAATGGGTCTGTTGGCCCTTGCAAAAATATTCTTTAAAAATCCACTATTATTGGTCCTTAAAAAATATTCTTTAAAAATCCATGCCTATTGGTCTGTTGGTCCTTGAAAAAATATTCTTTAAAAATCCACTATTATTGGTCCTTAAAAAATATTCTTTAAAAATCCATGCCTATTGGTCTGTTGGTCCTTGAAAAAATATTCTTTAAAAATCCACTATTATTGGTCCTTAAAAAATATTCTTTAAAAATCCATGCCTATTGGTCTGTTGGTCCTTGAAAAAATATTCTTTAAAAATCCACTATTATTGGTCCTTAAAAAATATTCTTTAAAAATCCATGCCTATTGGTCTGTTGGTCCTTGAAAAAATATTCTTTAAAAATCCACGATTATTGGTCCTTAAAAAATATTCATTAAAAATCCACGCCTATTGGTCTGTTGGTCCTTGAAAAAATATTCTTTAAAAACCCACGATTATTGGTCCTTAAAAAATATTCTTAAAAAATCCACGCCTATTGGTCTGTTGGTCCTTGAAAAAATATTCTTTAAAAATCCACGTTTAATGGGTCTGTTGGCCCTTGCAAAAATATTCTTTAAAAATTCACGATTATTGGTCCTTAAAAAAATATTCTTTAAAATCCACGAATATTAGTCTCTTGGTCCTTGAAAAAAAATCTTTAAAAATCCACGCCTATTGGTCTGTTGGTCCTTGAAAAAATATTCTTTAAAATTACACGCCTATTGGTCTGTTGGTCCAAGAAAAACTAATCTTTAAAAATCCTCGACTATATCCTGGTTGATCCTTGAATAAATATTCTTCAAAAAGTCACGACCATATCCTTGAAACAATTCAGGCTTATTGGTCTGCTGGTCATGGAAGGAAGACAACTTTGGATCACTTCAAGAAGACTGAAATCTTAATTTGGCTTTATGACAGGCTGTTATTTGATATTTTGACCGAATGTCCACATTTTGACTCTATAGCATTCCCGAGCCTTACCTTTTTAATTTGACATTCAACATTTTCCGAAATCTAATTTTATATTCCAACCTCCGCCATATCCTTTTCCAGAGTCAATGAACACCGTGACGGCGAACAACCGGAAACTGTTCAAGAATATCAACAACGCCTGCCCTCGCCCAGCGATTATGTACAGATGGCTCCACGTAACGACGAACATCACCAACATCCAGCCAATGCCACCATTTACACGTACACCACAACAGAGAATGGCCAACAGGCTATCTGTGCTACCACCTCTCCAACCGGCATAAAATTGGAATCGATTGACAAAGATACGGTCAATTCCGATCCGGCTGGACAGCAACAGCAGCAGCAACAACAGCATTTACATCATCAACAATGTCCCACTCCAAATGGCAGCTATACCGAATCGACATTGGTAATTCCATCGTCGGCATTGCATCATCAAAATCCTCACAATTTGTCGAGTAGCGGCCCGCACTCTCTACCCCATCCGGCCCATTTGGGTTCGACGTTACGTTTTGAAGATGATAATCGCTATGCGAATGCCCTGGGCGATAATGGCAGTGGACCACCACCGCTGTACTATGATGCCAGTGTGGCCGATGCAGCCGGTGGTGGTGGGCATGTCAGTGAGAGCAAGACTTTCACCGATTTGGGAAGTTCGCCTTATATCAACTTTGCCACATCATCATCGTCCTATCAGTTGCCGCAGAACAACACCGTCTATAGCGTAACAACGGCGGCGCCCAATCAACTGATCTCGAATAAGGATCCAAATTTTAGTTTGATGCGTCCATATCAACCAATGAATATCTATGAGACGGTCAATCCATCGGTGCCCGAACAGGCGCTGTGGTCAACATCGGCGGTGGAATATCAGAATATGAGCTTTGTAAGTATTTTATGCAAAATATTATAAGTATAATTAGAAAAAATACTTGAAAAAATATTATTTAAAAATCCACGCCAATATCCTGGTCGATCCTTGAAAAAATCTTGTTTAAAAACCCACGACAATGTCCTGGTTGATCCTTAAAAAAAATATTATTTAAAAATCCAGGCCAATATCCTGTTTGATCCTTGAAAAAAAAAAATATTATTTAAAAATCCACGCCTATATCCTGGTTGGTTCTTGAGAAAATATTCCTTTAAAAATCCACGCCTATATCCAGGTTGATCCTTGAAAAAATATTATTTAAAAAATCTAAGCCTATTAGTCTGTTGGTCCTTAAAAAAAATTCTTAAAAAATCTACGTCATATCCTGGTTGATCCTTGAAAAAATGTAATTTAAAAATCCACGTCTATTGATCTGCTGGTCCTTGAAAAGATATTCTTTAAAAAATCGACGCCTGTTGGTTCTTGAAAAAAATTCTTAAAAAATCCACGCCAATATCCTGGTTGGTCCTTGAAAAAATACTTTTTAAAAAATCGACTCCTGTTGGTCCTTGAAAAAATATTTTTTAAAAAATCGACCCCTTTTGGTCCTTGAAAAAATATTTTTTAAAAAATCGACCCCTGTTGGTCCTTGAAAAAATATTTTTTAAAAAATCGATCCCTGTTGGTCCTTGAAAAAATATTTTTTAAAAAATCTACGCCTGTTGGTCATTGAAATAATATTTTTTAAAAAATCGACGCCTGTTGGTCCTTGAAAAAATATTTTTTAAAAAATCGACGCCTGTTGGTCCTTGAAAAAATATTTTTTAAAAAATCGACGCCTGTTGGTCCTTGATAAAAATTCTTAAAAAATCCACGCCAATATCCTGGTTGGTCCTTGAAAAAATATTTTTTAAAAATCCACGCCTATTGGTCTGCTGGTCCTTGAAAAAATATGCTTTGAAAAATCGACGCCTATTGGTCCTTCTAAAACTATCCTTTAAAAAATCCACGCCTATTGGTCTGTTGGTCCTTGAAAAAAAATCTTTAAAAATTCACGCCTATTTGCCTGTGGGTCCTTGAAAAAATATTCTTTAAAAATCGGTCCTCCAAATGATAGCTAGAGATTAAGTACAGGTTATGGGAAATGAGTTATCTAAACTTTATCGATTTTCCAAAGATGCCATGACCACCACCATTAAATAATTACAATTTGCGAAAACCTATTCAAAATACTCATCAAAAAATCAATTTCCTTTACTTCTCTCTCTTCCCCTCCACACACACACCACCCACGTTAAAACTGCACCACCAACAATATAATCTATAAACACCAAACACCTCATTCTGTTGATTCTAATAACCAGAATTATCATCAACAGGTGGTTGAGGATTATTCCGGTGGTAATTTACCCCCAACTTCGTGGTCCACCGCCTCGCCCATTGGAAGCTATGATCCAACGCTACCCCAAACGCCACTCACCGAAGCCAAATGTGAGCAGTGCCATTCGCCAATAGCACGCGAGGGTAACAAGTTTTTTTGTCCCTCGTGTTGTGCACCAACCTATCGGCCCGTGCGTATGGGTCCACGCCAAGCCAAACCGAAAGCGGCCGCCACCAATAATGCCAATAATCGTCGGACCGGTGTCACCTGTGCCAACTGCTCCACAAATTCCACAACACTGTGGCGGCGCAATAACGAAGGCAATCCGGTTTGTAACGCCTGTGGCCTGTACTATAAGCTGCACAGCATGAACCGTCCGTTGTCGATGAAAAAGGAGGGCATCCAAAAGCGCAAACGTAAGCCCAAGAATAATGGTGTTGGTCCGATGCGTACCCAGTTGCCAAGTAAGTAGGACAAACTATTTCTTATTGAATTTGATTTTGTAATCTTTTTGGCTTTGCAGGTCTTCCCCCGGGCAGCGGTACCCTAATGATTACCAACGGTGCCTTGTATCCCTCGCAGGTGCCCACCTTGGGTTTGCCCCTAAATCCTCAAACGACAAATCATGGCGAATTACAAGATATGACCACCAATGGGACACGCACCGTCACCATTACCAATCCCGATATGAGTTTGAATATGTCCCGCACTCATGTCACCTCGGACAGCAACAATCATTCGCCCTACAACAATTCACCGTCCCAAAGTCAGTCGCCACATTTGCCAAGTGCCCAGAATTTTAAGTAAGTATGCTGTTTTTTTTTGTGGGAGCTTAGAACTAAAAGAATTCAGAATGTTGCATAGATTAGAGGGGTTACATGTCAGGGGCCTATATATTTTTTGCAGATATGTAAACTGTTCATATATTCCAAAACCATGTTCTTGGGTACTTAAAAAAAATTCTTAAAATCCAAAAGATCTTTCTCTAACAAATCCATGATTGCAGCTTGATCGGTCTGCAACTAAAAATCCAGAGAAAAACACGGGAGAAGCCATGAAAGCTCTGTTATTGCCTGAACATATAATTCTCTTTGGGCCAACGGATTTGGCAGGACATTTGCAGTAGATCTAGCGATGTCCGTCCGCCCGTCTGGATGGTGCGCACGATAACTCTCGAAGCGAGTATCCGATTTGGTCCAAACTTGGTACATCGTAATATTATTTTCCAACTTAGATTGAGATCGAAGATGGGCAATATCGGTCCACTCTTCCACAAAAGGTCCACTCCCCCAGAAAAGGTCAACATTTTCAAAAACAAAAAAAATTTTTTCTGCACAGAAAGAGAAAGGATGATCCAATTTTGTTCCAACTTTCCAAATCCCAATATTTCCATTAATATTAGGTCAGATTCGGAAATATACATTATCGGTTCACTTCATCAAGTACCTCCCCCACAAATGGTCAACATTTTCAATAATTATGACTCTTATAAAATGTGATGTAAGGGTCTGATTGTCTTCAAATTTCACACATCCCAATATTTTTATTAACCCGAGGTCTGGTTCGAAGATGGAATATATCGGTGCACTCCTTCTAGTACCTCCCCCCTCAAAAGGGTCAACATTCTGAATATCCATGAAGCTCATAAAACGGGAAATTAATATCCGATTACCCTCAGACTTGGCACATATCAATATTTACATCAACACAAGATCTGTTATAATGATGGTAGAGATCGGACCATTCCTTCTGGTACCTCCCCCACAAAGGGTCAATGTTTTGAATAACCACAACGATTATAAAATCCGAAATAAGCTTCCGGTTCTCTTCATATTTCACACATCCCATTATTTCTACTAACACAAGATCTAGTGTGAAGATGGAATATATTGGTCCACTCCTTCTGGTACCTCCCCCACTAATGGGTCAAAATTTTGAATATCCGTGAAGCTCAACGCTAAGACGCGAAATTAACATCCGATTACATTTAGACTTGGTACATCTCAATATTTCCATCAACACAAGATCTGTTATAAAGATGATAGAGATCGGACCAATTCCTCAGGCACCTCCCCCCACATAGAGTTCAAAATTTTGAAAAACAAAACGCGCAAAGAAAGCTAAATAAGCATCCAACTCTCTTTCACACATACCAACATTTTTGCTAACACAAGATTAGTTGTGAAGATGATATATATCTGCGAGCGCCTTCTGGTACCTCATCCACAAAGGGTCAGAATTTTCAATATATTTATCTGTCATAACTTGCGAAACAAGTCAGCGAAACCGCGTCGCAGTGGCCGAAAAATGGCTCGTGAGCTGAATATATCGCAATATTCCATTCGGCAAATATTGAAAAAAAAAAGCTCGGAGTAAAGCCATTGATATTCCAAAAAGAGCAAGAACTTACACCGCAACAAAAAGAAAATACACTCGAAAGAGCTAGAGTTGCATCGCTTGGCCGAAAGTGGTGAACTGCCGAATTTGGTTTTCTCCGATGAGAAAACATTCGTTGTCCAGCAGTTTGTAAACACACAAAATGATCGTGTTTGCTTGCCAAAGAGGTCAGCTGAGAATGTGCACCTTCGGTTGGCCACCAGAACTCAAGCGCCGGACATGGTGATAATGTGGGCCGCCATAACAGCTCGTATTAATCGATCATGGCATCAAAATAAATGCCGAATATTATCGCGAAAATATTCTGGAGGGTGTATTAAAGCCTTGGACACGCAAACATTTTGGTCGTAGACCTTGGAAATTCCAACAGGACTGAGTACGATACTCAGCACGCGTCACCCAAGAATGCTTACAAAATGAGGTTCCTCGCTTCACAGCACACAATGGCCACCAAAATCTCCGGATACCAATCCGTTGGACTATTGTGTCTGGAGTATTTTGGAAAGCACTAAAAAATACCAAAGTGTCGCTTCGCCGGGAATGGGCCAAAATACCGCAGAGCAACATTTGGGCAGCGTGTGACGGTTTTATTGGTCGTTTGAAGTCCATATTTCGTGCCAAAGATGACAAATTCGAACAAATCTAAAATTGTTCTTAAATTTGATGCTATTTCCGATACTTTTTGCTTAAAAAAAATAATAAAATATCGCCGTATACTTTGTTGCAGTTTTTTTATCTCACCCTTTATATCTGTATTAGATGAGGTATGAAAATGGAATACTTCGGTCGACCATATCTGGTATCTGACGCAAATTTTAACATTTCCTAAAAATTATCACATAAGTCATATAAATTGAAGGATGAAACCAATATAGTCCAAATCTGACACGCCGCAATATTTTTATCATGTTTATTCAGGTCCGATACGAAATGGACAATATTGACCCATTCCTTCGGAATAGAATAACAGAAGTTAAAATATATTCAAATAATCGAACATTGGCTGAGGGTATACATCTGTCGGCAAAACCGACTGATTCTATTTAACCTGCTTTTTTAACGATTAGATCGTTATACCCTCTCTAGCCATATAGCTGAGGGTATAAAAATGGCTTCAATGGGATTTTTTATACCCTCCACCATTCTATGGAGGGTATATTAACTTTGTCATTCCGTTTGTAACCCCTCTTAATATTTATAACAGACCCTGGAAAGTGTATATATTGTGGATCAGCGTAGTTTACCAGTAGGGAGGTTAAGTTCGTAAATGGGCCATATCGGTCCACTTTTTCGTATAGCCCCCATATAACGGTACCTCCCGATATTTGGTATTTTTATGATTTAAGCGACAGTATTTACCGGAATTATTATTTTAAATTTCGTATTTGAAGTTAGTAAGGTATACTACAGCCTATGATAAACATCTTTGTATTCATGTCTTCGTATAGCCCTCATATAACGGTAGGTCCCGATATTCGGTATTTTTGATGATTTCAGCAACATTATTCACCGGAATCGTTTCAAATTTCGCATTGGGAGAACTTAATGGTTACCAGAATCTATGAACAAACATTTCGTATGCCCCTATAAAACAGTATCTCCCGATATTCGGTATTTTTATGATTTGTGCGACATTATTTACAGGAATTGTAACAAATTTTGAAAATGGGCCATATAGGTCCACGTTTTCAAATAGCCCCGATATAACGGTACCTTCCGATACTCGGTATTTTGATGATTTTAGCGACATTATTCACCAGAATTGTTTCAAATGCTCGTAATGGGTCCTACAGCCTATGACAAAAACATTTCGTAAGCAGGACCTCGTCTTCGTATAGTCCGGAAGTTTTTTGAAATTTTTTAAAGTTCCTTCCAAATGATGGAGGGTATTAAAAGATCGGCCCGGCCGAAAATAGCTTCTTTTTTTACTTATTCCAATTCGTAATATAATTTAACATTGTTTTTGTTTTTTTTTTCTTTTTCTTTTAGAGTACCAGCCATTGAGGTGCCTCGTTCCACCCCGACCAGTGAAATACCCACCAGTGTGATAACACGCACCGGCCTACCAGAAAGATCAACGAATAATTAGCGAAATAAATTTAGAATTTATTAGCATTCTTTCAAATCTACAAAAGAGAGAGAGAGAGAAGAGAGTTTCGACCAAAGTTATTTTTTTAGAAGAAAATTTAGACATTTTTTTTGTATAAATCAAAGCGAAAAGACAGCTAATCCAAAGTTATTCCAAAAAAATCATCTTGCCAACATTGGACTTTATAATTAATTTGTAAAATTAAATTCAGTTGAACCTTAGGCACATATATTTAAAAAAAATATACGTAATTTAAAACAAAATTAAAAAAAAAATAAAAATATTAATTATTAAAAAAACTAAGAGCAAATTTTACGTATTGAGAATTTATATGTTTAAAAATAAATAAATAAATAAAGAAATATTTTATGTGAAAAAACGCCCATTATAGATGATTAGATTATTAATTATTTTTTAATGTATTATGTTATTTAATTATTTTATAAATAAAAAAACAACAAGAGACTACTTTAATTTAAAACATATTTTACAACCATATATGTAAGACATTATTCCCTGCAAAAAACAGCCATAAAAATTATAATTTATATTATAATATAATTTAAAATAATTTTGTATATTTTTCTCGTTTTTTCTTTTTTTTTATTTAGTTAAAATTTATTTAGTTTCGGTTTTAGTCTTTTATTATGAATATTATTAATTTACCAAAAAATAAACATAATGTATCCATTAAATTGTATGAAAATGTATTTTTAAATTGTATTTGTATAAATCCACAAAAAACAACAACAATGGAATGAAACATAAAATAAATGAGTTATAAGGCCAAAATTAAACACTAATGACGACATAATTTATTAATTTAAGAAGTGGATTGATAATTCGAAGGGCTTCTCATTGATGGTGTTTTTGAGCTGTGGACAGTGTTTTGAAACGGAATTTGGTTATATAAGGATTTTCGGAAAATGTGTGGAAATTAAAATCAGCCTTTAAAAAAGCGACCCTATTCCAAAAACAAAAAAAATATAGTAAATAAATAAAAAAATAAAAAAAACTATCGATTACAACATCTGTTAAGAATTAAAAATGACTGGAATTGCTCTGAATGGAAATGTGCTTCTTACAAGTTCCATAGCTTTGGTCCTTGGTGGTGCTTTTAAAAAATATTCTTTAAAAATACACGATTATAAGCCCACGATTAAAGCTCCGAGGGATGTTTGAATTAAAAAAGCAAATCCAAGATTTAAAAAAAATATTCTTAAAAAATTAGCGATCATAGTCCTGTAAAAGTCATCGATGAAAAAAGTCATCCAAGATTATTGATCTGTTGGCCCTTAAAAATTCCCAAAAAATTCAAAATCCACGCTTATAGCAATGGAGGGTGTTGTTTTTTTAAATCAGCGGCTAGTACTCTGTTTATCCTTAAAAAAAATTCTTTAAAAATCCATGAATATATACTGGGTGAAAAATAACCTTACAAATCCACGACTGTAGCCATGAAGTCCTTGAAAAAATATTTTTTAAAAATACAAGACTATATCCTGGTTGATCCATGAAGTACTTGAAAAAATATTTTTTAAAACCCCAAGACTAGAACTCTATTGGTCCTGGTTGATCCTTGAAAAAATATCCTTAAAAATCCACGATTGTAGCCATGAAGTCCTTGAAAAAATATTTTTTAAAAGCCCAAGACTAGAACTCTATTCGTCCTTGAAAAAATATTCTTTAAAAATCCCAGACTATATCCTGGTTGATCCATGAAGCCCTTGAAAAAATATTTTTTAAAAACCCCAAGACTATAACTCTATTGGTCCTTGAAAAAATATTCTTAAAAAATCCAAGACTATATCCTGCTTGATCCTTGAAAAAATATCCTTAAAAATCCACGTTTGTAGCCATGAAGTCCTTGAAAAAATATATTTTAAAAACCTAAGACTAGAACTCTATTGGTCCTTGAAAAATATTCTTTAAAAATCCAAGACTATATCCTGGTTGATCCTTGAAATTATATTCTTTAAAAAACCACAATTATAGCCATGGAGGTCCTTGATTTTTTTAAATCCACGACTAGGACTCTACTCTTCCTTAAAAAAATATTCGTTAATTTTTTTTAATCCTTAATTTTTTTTAAATCCACGACTAGGACTCTATTTTTCAATGAGAATATATTGTTTAATATTTTTTTTATAATACTTGAAAAAATGTTTTTAAATCCTCGACTAGGACTCTATTTTTCCCTGAAAAAAAATATATTTTTTAAAAATCCACGACAAAGACTCTACTTTTCCTTAAAAAAATATTTGTTAATTTTTTAATCCTTATTTTTTTAAAATCCACGACTAGTACTCTATTTTCTCTTGAAAAAAATATTCTTACAATTCTTTTAATCCTTGAAAAAATATTTTTATTTTTTTTATTTTTTATTATTATTACATTTTTTTAAATCCTTCAAAAATTATTCTTTAAAAATCCTCGTTTAATAGGTCTGTTGGTAATAAAAAAAATATATTTTAAAAATCAACGTTTAATAGGTCTGCTGGTCCTTGAAAAAATATTATTTAAAAATCCTCGTTTAATAGGTCTGTTGGTCCTTAAAAAAATATTATTTAAAAATCCACGTTGGTCCTTTAAAAATATTATTTAAAAAATAATCGTTGGTCCTTGAAAAAATGTTCTTTAAAAATCAACGTTGGTCCTTGAAAAAATATTTAATAGGTCTGTTGGTCCTGGAAAAAATCTTATTTAAAAAACTCCATTTAATAGGTCTGTTGGTCCTTAAAAAAATTCTTTAAAAATCCTCATTGGTCCTTGAAAAAATATTCTTTAAAAATCAACGTTGGTCCTTGAAAAAATATTTAATAGGTCTGTTGGTCTTGGAAAAAATCTTATTTAAAAAAAATGAATTTAATAAGTCTGTTGGTCCTTAAAAAAATTCTTTAAAAATCCTCATTGGTCCTTGAAAAAATATTCTTTAAAAATCAACGTTGGTCCTTGAAAAAATATTTAATAGGTCTGTTGGTCTTGGAAAAATCTTATTTAAAAAACTGAATTTAATAAGTCTGTTGGTCCTTAAAAAAATTCTTTAAAAATACTCATTGGTCCTTGAAAAAATATTCTTTAAAAATCAACGTTGGTCCTTGAAAAAATATTTAATAGGTCTGTTGGTCCTGGAAAAAATCTTATTTAAAAAACTCCATTTAATAAGTCTGTTGGTCCTTAAAAAAATTCTTTAAAAATACTCATTGGTCCTTGAAAAAATATTCTTTAAAAATCAACGTTGGTCCTTGAAAAAATATTTAATAGGTCTATTGGTCCTGGAAAAAATCTTATTTAAAAAACTCCATCTAATAGGTCTGTTGGTCCTTAAAAAAATTCTTTAAAAATCCTCATTGGTCCTTGAAAAAATATTCTTTAAAAATCAACGTTGGTCCTTGAAAAAATATTTAATAGGTCTGTTGGTCTTGGAAAAAATCTTATTTAAAAAACTGAATTTAATAAGTCTGTTGGTCCTTAAAAAAATTCTTTAAAAATACTCATTGGTCCTTGAAAAAATATTCTTTAAAAATCAACGTTGGTCCTTGAAAAAATATTTAATAGGTCTGTTGGTCCTGGAAAAAATCTTATTTAAAAAACTCCATTTAATAAGTCTGTTGGTCCTTAAAAAAATTCTTTAAAAATACTCATTGGTCCTTGAAAAAATATTCTTTAAAAATCAACGTTTGTCCTTGAAAAAATATTTTTTAAAAATCAACGTTGGTCCTTGAAAAAATATTCTTTAAAAATCCACACTGGTCCTTGAAAAAATATTCTTTAAAAATCCACACTGGTCCTTGAAAAAATATTTTTTAAAAACCCACGTTTAATAGGTCTGTAGGTCCTTGAAAAAAATATTCTTTAAAAATCCATGTTTAATAGATCTGTTGGTCCTTGAAAAAATGTTCTTTAAAAATCCACGATTAGGGAGAGTCCTTGAAAAATAATCTTTTTAAAATACACAATTAAGGCCTTGAAAAATATATAACCTTCACAAATCCGCCATAAAAGTCCGTGAACAATTTTCTAAATTTTAGCTCTGGTCGTTCAAAAAACCAAAAACTCCATCCCCCAAATTGTTTAATTTCCTCTGGCACCCATCTTTAAACACTGTGTAACGGATTTGCTGTCGGCAGATGAAGTGGTGGTCCATTTGTTTATAAATTCCAATGCTGCCGGTGGTGTCACTTGACCACTAAGTGGAGTGATGCCACTAAGTAAGTGAGCAAACGAGCCAGCCATGGGGATTGGATGGATGACTGAGTGCATTCTTGGGTGATGGCAAACGCGGCGATATTTCATTGTCAACAATTTGGCAGGCAACCAAATTGAACCAAATTAATTTTAATGACCCTTTTTTCGGCCACAGTTCAAAAACATAGTATGACCGAGGCAGGACCCACAGCGACAATGGTTGGGCAAAGAAGAACAGGATGATCGCTACAGAAAAAGTTGTTAATAAAATATAAAAATCGGAAACTACGACTTTGAAATGAGCTATATTAAAAAAATAAATAAATATTCTAGAAAAATTATTTTTTATAGCAGACGAGTCTAGTCCTGTTGGACCATGGAAAAATATGCTTTGAAAATCCCTGATTATTGGTCAGTCGGTCCTTCAAAAATATTCTTTAAAAAAAATTATTAATTATTATTTGTTTGTTGCTCCTTTAAAACACATTCTTAAAAATATACGCCTATTGATGTGTGGGTCCTTGTAGAAGTCCACGCCTATAGGCGTATGGGTCCTGTATTTAAAAATCAAAATTTATTGGTTTGTTGATCCTTAAAAATATTCCTTAAAAATCCATGATTATTGTTCTGTCGGAGCTTAAATAATATTCTTTAAACATTCACGATTTTTGATCTTTTAGTCCATGAAAAAAAAAATTCTTTAAAAATCCAGGATGATTGGTCTGTTGGTCCTTAAAAAAATATCGTTCAAAAATCTGTGTTGGTCCTTCAAAAAATATTTTATACTGGTTAATTCTTGAAAAACTTAATTATCTGTTGGTCTTTGGTATATTTTAATAAACCACAACTATATCCTGGCTGATCCTTGGCAAAATATTCTTTAAAAATACAGGGTTAATGGTCCGTTCGTCCTTAAAAAAATATTCTTCTATGCCTCAAAAAAAAAAAAATGAATTAAAAACCACGCCAAATGGCCAGTGGGACCTTGAAAACAAATTAATTAAAAATCCACTTCTATTGGCCAGTGGGTCCTTGAAAAAAATAGTTAAAAATCCAC